AGTAGCAGCGGTTACTGCATTGTGGTCTGCTAGGAATTGTAAACAACTCGGAGAACTGTGGCTACTGAGCAGTATAAAAGTTAAATAAATATTACTTTGGGGCTTGAGAGTAAAGAATAGAAACCAACATTTGAAACAAAGCATTAAAAATCAATATATTTGTTAACAGTCAGTTAATAAAAGAACAGAAACAGCTGTTGACATGCCAGAAACTGGCTCCAGTTGTTCCCGAGCCTGGGAGCCAGACTGGGAAGGCCCTTCTTTCCGTCCTCAGCAGGCACGCCACTGACGAGGGAGGCACGGGGCAAGGGACCTCTCCTGGCAAGCTGGAAACCTGGGCGGGCTTCCATGGCCGAAGGCAGTCTTCCGAGCCACCTGGCCCCAAGGGCTTCGCGGGACGTAGCCCTAGCCAGAGCTTTCGGCTGTGCCTGAAAACAGGCCGCGCCCATGAGGCCATTGTGGGAAAAGAACGTGTTGCCCCACAGCCAGTTGTGTGCTTGCAGCTTTCCAAACAATTTTCCAGGGCAGCCCCACGCAGAACTCATGATGGAGAGTCCAAAGGCCTGGACATCCAGTTGCCCACCCTTGCAATCGAATAATCGACGAGGGGAGATGGTTTGAATATCCAGAGTCCAAGAATGCCTTTATTAACCATTGTATACACATTGTCACAGCTGCTACAGACAAACAACATCACAATGGCGCACGAGGCAGTGTGGGTAGACAAGAACACTTAGTACAGCAAATCGCTAGCCGGGCATCACCGTCCTCGGCGTCTTTCGACAGGAAAGTCCTCCAGCTTGCAGGTTTCCCTGCCGGCAGGGAGTGGGCTGGGGGTTGTGCAAGACTTTCCTGTCTAAAGGCGCATGGGATTGCCCCATGAAGCATTGAAACTACACATTTCAGCAGGCTGCATTTTAAAGACGAGTTTAGAAGGGTTTTAGAGGCCAGGAGAGTGTGGGCAGCCACTGGCCTTGAGGGATGAAAGCCTTCCACAGTTCGGGGAACAACTGGAGGAAGCCCTCTTCACACGCCCCTGACAAACCGGCCACCACAGGTGGGTGTCCCTGAAGGAGACCCCCTTGCAGTCCTTATTATGCGGGTGAGGGTCTAGTGAGGGGGGCCCTCAGCTTTCAGGGTTGAAACATGTTTTGAAGTGGGCCTGGAGAGCAGTTGGGCCCCCGGGCCACCGGTGAGGTGTCTCTTGTTGGTGGAATCTTCCGTATTTGATAGCAGCGAATGCAGCCTTTGAAAATCACAACCTTTGAAAAGCATCCAAAAAGAAAATGATTCACAAGATGCTGAAAAAATAGTTTATTCTTTAAGAGACCCGGTGTGTTTGGCTCCTCAATCGGGGGCCATTAAAAAAAAAGACAATACCAGAAACTATTTAAAAGGCCACTACTTCAAGAGTACAATAATATACACATTTCCAGATGTGCCAGCACACTCTCAATGCTTAAAAGGCTTTCAGGGCGCTGCCAGGACTCACTCGTGCCTTGACGATGGGGCAGGGAGACTCGGAAGGGAAAGTCCGGAGAGGCAAATTCTGCGTTTATTAACCAGGCATTTGCTATTGCCCATGCCAAGTACATTTTGCATTTTCAGAATATATTTTCAGATATTATAGCTTAAGCGTGGGCTAGACAAATTGCTTAATCCTTAATTAGCTAGTCTGAGTGCAGAAGCCAGGCAAGTCTGGCTGAATATGCAGAATGGCCCTGCAGTGACTGATAAGATTAATCAAGAAGGAATCACTTATCTCGCTGATAGTGCTAATGAGGACTTGGTTACATGGGAGGGGGCCGCTGAGGAGCTGGAATTACCCCCTCTCATATGAGACCAGTGGTTCTGGAGGGGACCTGTGGGCCTGGAGTCCTGCCCCGCTCAGGGCAGGACTGGAGGTGTCGGATGGCTGTCTGGCTGCCTCTTGAATGCTTCCAGGGTGGGAGAGGCCCACAAGGTCCCCAGAGCAAGGTTCAGCCAGAGCTATGATCCACATTTCTTGTGTAATAGAGCAACTTCTACAGAAAGAGTACAAGGCCGATGATATTGCCTGCCTGTCTTCAATGTGTGGGTCAGTTCTGACAAGAGTTACCTGGAAACTTTTAAAGAGTTGTGAGTACGCCCAGGGTTGTCGCTGTGCAATCTTCCATATCACATTGTACTGTTACGACATATTCTGATTACAGTGGTGCCTCAGCTCACGAACTTAATCTGTTCCCTGACTCTGGTCGTGACCCAAATTGGTCATGAGCCAAGTCAAATTTCCCCATAAGGTTCAATGTAAATAAGGTTAATCCGTTCTGTAACTTTTTTATCACAAAAATTTGAAGCAAAGTGACAAAGAACAGCAAAGATTGTGGCCATCTCCTCCCCCGCCCCCCCAGCACAAATGTGACCGTGTCCGTGCAGGGAAGACGGGCGATCACGATCGTCACCCGATGTGGAGCTGGTGACCCGAGACATTTGTGAGCCGAGGTACCACTGTACTTTTATGACATATTCTGATTATTCTCTGGGGGAAATTCTGGAGCAGATTATAAAGCAGTCAGTCTGCAAACACCTTGAAAACAATGCGGTGATTCCTAGAAGCCAACGTGGATTTCTCAAGAGCAAATCCTGCCAGACGAATCGGGTTTCACGTTTGCTTGGGGAGCCTCCCCGGCGGGCTGGGGGAGTGCGGTGGGTGTGAGCTACCCTGACTTCAGCCAAGGGCCCCGTGCTCGCCTGATGTGCAAAGCAGCGGAGAGCGGGCTCGGCGGAGCACCTCTCGGGTGGAACCACGGCGGGCTGCACACTGAGTGATGCTCCTTGGGGACACTTTCTCGGACCGCGAGGGGTAGCCAGGGGGGCCTGCTGGCCTCAGTCCAGGGTGGCCCTGTTGCCAGGTCCTGTGGCGGCTGCGCTCTCCACAACACTGGCTCCAGAGAGCAGAGGTGGGCGGCAGGGCGGCCTCCCAGAGCGAGGCTGGAGCCACTCCTGCCCCGGGTCATAGAGTCACACAGGTGCAAGTGGCCCGGAAGGCCATCGGGCTGGACCCTCTGCTCGGTGCAGGACTCAAGTCTCCCGTCCGGCTCCTGACCAGGTCTGACTCTGCGTAGCTTCCAGGGCTAGGCAGGCTCGGGCATTCGGGCCATTTGCTGAGCGCGCAGCTGGTCCGTTCTCGTTGCTGGGCGAGTTCTGGAGCAAGCCAGCTAGACTGGCAGGCGGTCAAGCACGAAGGCTTCGGTCCCGTGGGGGCTCCGGCCGAGGCAGGAGTGGACAAGGGGTGCAGGCAGCGCCTTCAGGGGCTGTGTGCAGACGGGCAGCCGGGACGCGGGCAGTGCCGGGAGCTGTGTCCGGGGCCAGCTGCGCGGAGGCTCAGGCGCACGGCAGCGTCGGCAGCAGAGCCGCTGGAGCGGCGTCGTTCCAGCACTGGCCGCCCCAGGTGGGAGGCGCAGAGCCGGGCTTCCCGGGCTCCTCCCAGGGCTTCCTGTGGGCCCTCGGGCAGCAGCGCCTTCGGGAGGAGGGCCTTGGCCCCAAGGAATCAGATCCTCCCGAGGAGAGCAGAAGGCTGGTCCAGAGGAGCTTCGCACCCTGCGTGGCGGTCTTTAGGACTTTAGCGATGGCGAGGCTGGAGGTGAAAGCACCGTGCGGATGAGCCACGGATGAGCCACGTGGGTTTGAGGACCGCCCCGCCCCGCCCCACCTCGGCCAGCAGGTGCTCGCTCCCGTCCCCTCTCGGGGGCTGATTCCAAGACGGACGCTGTGCAGGTATGCCAGCACCTTCGCAGGTGAAGAGCTGCCCCGGAGGGCCCATTCATGCCCCTGCCAAACAGGGCCTTCCAGTGCTGTCCGATCAGGTTTGCGGCCACTGCCCGAGCCCGTCTGGGAGGGACGTGCTTGCCGGTGGGACGGCTGGTTCCGGCTGCCCGCCATTCCAGGGAGCATGTGATGGCTGGGCCACGCATCCGAGTCCGTGAACGGCAGCGCTGCGGAAAGGTAGCGCCACTGGGTGCTGCGGTCCCTCAAGGGCTTCTCATCATGCCGAGCCTCACCGAATTGAAGAACAGCAGCGGCCCTCTGCATGGGGTCCCTTCCAGGCGCTCCTCTGGGGGAGGCAGACCAGATACCGGCTCAGCAGTGGCAGGAATTCTTCCCATGTTCGGCTGAGGGGACAACAGAAGCGATGCATGAAGTGGGAACTGGCGACAGGAAGCGGGAAACGGCCCGGACCGCGGGGGACGCAGTGTGACGGGGTGAGGGAAGCCCTTGGCGGGCTGGATTGGGGCTGGCAGTGGGACTGTAGACGATGCAGGCGTGGGGGGGGGGGCTGTTACGAAAGCCTCTTTGAATACCCTGCATGGGGACGCAGAATCAAGGCAGAGTCCTGGCAGGGGCGTGTGAGCAGCAGAACACACCGGAGGAAAACGTCCCATCAGTCTGGGCAGTGCACAAACCCCCTGGCGGCCCGTGTGTCTGGGGGCCCATTCCAGCCAGGGCTCTGGGCACGAGTGGTGATGAGGAGAAGGCGCGAACAGGCAGACGGCCTTCCCAGGGCACGTTGGTTTGTTTGTTTGTTTGGAGAGCTTATATGCTGCCCCCTTCGCATAAGCCTCGGGGCGGCTTATGCGAAGGGGCCGCTTCGGAGCAAAGGGGCAGGACTGGGCCGAGGCCTGGCTGCTCCCCATTCCACAGGGAGTGCCCCCCACGAAGCTCGGCTCCCCCTCTGCCGGGGCCTGCCCAGCAGCCTCTGCTCCCCCATGACCTGCTGTGGGGACCCTTCCCTTCGGAAGACAGCCCTGGGCGGGGATGGTTCCCAGCAGATGCAGGTGGCGCTCGCGGTGGGCCGGGAATTCCTGGGTGCTTTGGGAGCCCCGGAGCCTGTCCCGCAGGACCCGGGGCGGAGGGTGTCCTGCAAAAGCTTCGGAGCGTTTGCAGGTGGCTTCCGGCGGCACAGCGAGCACGAGGACTCCCTGCCGGCTGGGGCCACGGGGCCAGCGTGTCTTCCCTGCCGGCTAGTGGGGCATCCGCGCCAGGGGCTCGTAATGGGCCAGCACCGGGCGGCTGGGCAGGGGGCCCGCCCTGCCCAGGGCCGGGTGCGCCGTGTCTGTGGGGCGGCTCAGCCACGCGTCGAAGACGGTCTTGTTGGGGGGTGCGGTTTGGTCCAGGTCCGCCGAGAGCTGGGCGGGAGGGCCAGGGCTGGGCGGGGGCCGTGCCGCCAGCTCCCAGCGTGCCGGAGCAGCGAGGGGTGCGGGGCTGTAGATGGGCAGGCTCAGGAGGGCGGTGGGGAACGGCGGGGAGAGGCTGGGTGGGGCCACCACGTTGGGGGGCACGCCGGTGCTGTAGGAGGTGGGCAGCTGCTCCCAGGGCGGCGCGGCGTGGGGAGGGGCCCCGTCCTCAGAGTCAGAGCTGCTGCTCTCGGGGGCCCGGAGACCCCGGGGGCGCTTGGGCAGGGCATGAAGCCCGGGCCCCCGCCCGGGCCGCTGCCCCTGGGCCTCCCTTTCCCGGGGCGACAGGGAGCCGAGGGAGGAGAGGCTGCTGGAGGAGGAGGAGAAGGGGCGGCATGCCGGCAGGGGCCAGGGGGGCTGCCACGGCACGACCGGTGGCCCCGGGGTGGCGTGGAAGAGGGGGACTGTCCCCCAGGTGTCCAGGCCCGCGGCGAGGGTCGGGGGGGACTCGGCAGCCCCCCGAGGCTTCCCGCACAGGCCCACGTCCTGGAAGTCGCTCAGCAAGGCGTCGATGCTGAAGGGGCTGCTCTGCCGCCCACCCCCTGTGGCTGGGCACAGACTGCCGCCCGAGGAAGCCGCGTCGTGGGGAGGGGGAGGGGGAGGGGGCGGGCTGCTGAAGGGCCAGCCGTGGAACACGTAGGGGGCGAGGTCCACGGCGAAGACCCTCTCCTCCTGGCGCGAGACCGGCGTGTTCTGCAGCTTGAGGGCCTCGGGCGGGATGCGCTCCACGTCCACCGTCCAGAAGTTCCCCTTGGCCTTGGGTTTCTTGGGGTCCTTCAGCACCTGCACAGGGCGTGGAGAGGTGGTCTGCAACATTCCCTCCTGAGGTGGGGCCGAGAGAGGCCCCCCCACCCGGGATGGAGGGAGGGAGGAGGCCTGCGCCAAAGCTGCCTCTCCCCCTTCCAGCCCTGGCTTGCCCTGAACTCCCGGGTTCTCTCGTTTCTGGCCGCTCGCCTTCCCCCATTTGGGATTTTGTGGCCTGCCCTGTTCCCAAGCGAGAGAATCGTGTGTGGTGCCCAGAGCTCAGTTCTGGGGAGGCGGAACCGGGTCCGGTCTCTGGGACGGGTCCCTCCTACGTCGCCTGTAAAATTCAACATGGCGCCTGCTGCCAGGAAGCGCCTCGGGGCACGTGTGGCAGAGTGGACCGGCTTGCTCAAGGTGCTGCCCCTGGAGGCGTCGAAGGGCAGACTCCATCACCCCCGCCAGCCCGGGTTTGGACTTGACGCACCTGGGGGGGGCCAGGTGGGGGAGGGCTGAGGCGGAAAGCGGTGCCCTAGAATGGCCCATCTGCTTGGATCATGGCCACAGGCATCCCTTGAGGAAGCAGCAGAGCCCTGTGCCCCCCCCCCCCGCCCCCAGGCTCACCTCACCTTGTAGAAGCACTCGTTGGAGGAGAGGTTGTGGCGGATCGAGTCCTTCCAGCCCTGGTAGTTGTCCTTGAAGAAGGGGAAGAGGGTGCTGATCTCGCGGATGATCTGGAAGGCCGAGAGGCAGAGGTGAGAAGGCCGTGGGGCGCCTGCAGGACCCCGGCCGCAAAGCAGACCCCTAAGCAGAGGTGGTATTACTGGGGGGTGGGAGCAAGGAAAGCTGCCATCGGAGATGCAGCTGGGAGGGGCCATGCAGCCCCCCACCCAGGGCAGGCGCGCCGCTCGAAGCGTCCCCCATCGAGGCTCTGCACGAGCACCCCCCGGGCAGGGCTGCTCCAACGCTTGGGCCATTTCCCCGGATTTTCAACCAGGTCTGCTGTAGCTCAAGCCCTTTATTTTGTGGCTTGCAGGCCTGGGTGGTAGAAACGGGTCTTGGCCCCTGCAGTCACCACTCTTTTAGGACCGGAAAAATGCTCTGCATCTTGGTTCAGTCGTCATTTCTCAAGGCTACACGGACCCGGCTCCTTCAATCTTCCCTTGTGGGACCAAGTCTCCAGTATAGTGAAACCAGCGTTTTGTGTGTTAATGCCGCCCAAAATAGCGCTCGCCCCTTCTGCGGCTGCATCCCATGGTTGGCTCATAGTTGGCTTGTGATCGGCAAGAACCCCAAGATCCTTCTCGTTTGCAGGCTCGTCGAGCCAAGCGTTCCCCTTCTTGTAGCAGCGCGTTTGGCTTCGCGTCCCTGAGCGGAGAACTTGAAACCCCCCCGAATTTCTGTCTGTTGCTCTCTGCCCTATTCTAACCTGCCGAGACCACCCTGGATCTTCTCTCTGTCTTCCATGGTATGTGCTCCCCACCCACCTTTGTGTCCTCTCCCATTTCCTTGACTTACTGCCTTGTACCTCCCTTTGATTCCCTTTCCCCCAACTGATTAGCTTTGTATACGCCATTGTTAACTTGCTTTCTGTCATTTCCTGCTCATCTTCTAGCTTCTCAAGGGAAATTTGTTTCTGCCCTCTAAGGTGTGAGGTGCCCTGCCCAGTCTTGCATCATCTGCAGATTCGTTGTGTGCCCCATCTCTGTCCATGTCATTCACAAAATGCTGGCAGGGCCTGGGTGGGGCCGTGGGGCAGCCTGCCAAGCCCGAGTCTGCTGAACTCCTTGAGCAGCACTCTTGGCCTGTGGCTTGCCGGCCGGTGGCGCACCCGCCCAGCAGTAGCGCCATCCAGCCCACGCCTGGCTAGCCGGCCGGTGCTCCCTCCGCCGCCCTGCTGAAGCCAAGGCGGCCTCCGTCCCAGCGGTTTCACGATCTCTCAAGGGAGCCGCTCAGCCGAACGGCACGGCGAGATGCGGTGCCCAGGGCTTGCTGCCCGTGCGCCTTGGCGCCTGCCCGCCAGCGCCCTTTCATCTGCTCCGAGATCTTCCCTGGAGCCGGTGCCAGAGCAAGTGGGCTGCCGTTTCCAGGCCTGCCTTTCTGGAGACCGGGACAGCCTGCCCGGTGCGTCCCCCCGTTCCCCCAGATGTGCCCCGTGAATGAAGGGAAGCCCCGTCTCTGTCGGCGCCCTGGGATGCAGCCCATCTGGACCCGGGGAGCCGAGCTCCTCTCTGTTGGCCACAAAGCTCCAGCCTCCCTCATCCATGCGCAGCACGTGGGACACATGTCTTCTTCTGGGGGGGCCCAGCCAAGGTAGGGGCCCAGCCAACGGGGTTTGTGGCCCCCTTGGACGCTGGCATGCCAGACCTTTCCCCCATCATTTTATATTTATATTTATTTTCCACCTCACAGGGACTCGAGGCAGCTTATAACATTAAAAGCCTGTGACATTAAAATGGAAATATACAAAGATTAAACATAAAATTAAATTAGTGGAATGCTAAAATGGTATAAAAAGGCAAAATGTCAAATGCTGCAAAGATAAAACCAATCCAGGGCAGTCTCACAAGTCCAGTCGGTCCCCAAAGGCTGCCTGGGCCAGGAAGGGGAATGCGGGGGGGAGGGCTCCCAGGGGCCTCCAAAGCCCCAGCAGGGAGGGGGAGCCGTCCAGTGTCTCCAGGGCCTTGGGCTGCCCCTGGGAAGCCCCCCCCCCCGCATTCCCACCAGCTGCTCCTGTGAAGGTGCGGGACTCAGAAGGGTCTCCCAGGTGCCCTTCAGGTGTGGCCAGTGCCCTGCCCAGCCCTTTGCATTGTGCTGGAGACAGACTGGGAGCCCGCCCGGCTCTCCCAGTATAGGAGCCGTGTGCTCTCCTGGCCAGCCCAGTCAGCCGTCTGGCAGCAGCTCCGAGCACCCTCCCGAGGCAACCCTACTCGGACACGGGATCCAATATCCCATGTGCCCCGGCAGCCAAGTCAAGCCCCGGAACAGGTGCAGCTGCAGCGCGGGTTTTCACTGTGCCAAAGCACCGCCGAGTGCTGGGCCCCACGGTGGAGTCCGAAAGTGCACGCGAGCGGGGGACCCGCGTGCTTGAGGGGTGTGTCCCCTGCCCCACAGAAACAGGCCTGAAAGGCCCTCTGCTTGACTGTAGGGAGCAGTTGGTGGGGGCAAGCGGTTAGTGGTAGGAAGAGGCATTCTGCGTATGCTCAGGGGTGCTCTTGGCATTCAAGGGGGAGAATCTTTCCAGAAGGAGCTGGCAGTTGTCTCACTGCCACTTGCCTGCCAGGGTTTCCCTCGGGAAATCCAGCACGTGGGAAGCAGACCTTTCCCCCAGACATTATCTGTGGAGTTACCAGCTGGAGAGAGCAGCGCACAAGGAACGCCGTGGGCACCGAGTCCCTTGCAGTCACAGTCCGTGTGCGTCAAGGTGTGTGCGGTGGGACCGTGCTAACCAGTTACACTTGGATATGGCGCTGATGCGGCAGCTAAGAGCTCGGGAAAACCGGCCCCTAGTCCCCCCTCGGGCATGGAGCTCGCTGGTGGCTTTGGGCCAGTCAGATTCTCACCCTGAGCCACCTCGCAGGGTTGTTGTTGTGAGGATAACCTTAGAAGAGAGAGAGGAGAATTACGCAAGTGCCCTCGAGTGCCTCGAAGGAAAGAAGGTGGGGTGTAAGCAGAGAAATGAAATGCAGGGTTCTTCCTCAGCCCCTGGAGCCCCCGGCCTGGGCAAAGCTTTCCAGCTGTGCAGACGAAGCTGGCAGTGCCCGGCAGGCACTTGCCATCCTCCTCCGCCCTGAGGGCAAGATCCGAGTTTGCCGGGCCAGTCCTGGATGGCCAGCAGCCCTGCCCTCTGCTCCCCTTTGCATCTGAATTCCTTCCGCAAGCCAGACAACAACACAATCGCACAAGAAGTGATATAAAGCAGGGACATAATGCAACCACAACCAGGTGCAGCTGGAGGGGGGGCGCTGGAGCAGGGCAGGCCTGGCGATGCTGCATCACTCCCCCACCCCACCCCACCCCGCCCCACTGCGCCTGGGACATTCCTCACCCTCCAGAAGGGAAGGATTTGCGCCCTGCTGGTTCTGACCCCCCACTGGTCGACCGACCCCTGACCCAGGCAGAATATTTACATTAGATACAGTGGGAGGCATGGGGCAGGGGCTGGGCTGGGCTGGGCTGGGCTAGCAGATGGCCACAGATAACGCTCCCTTATCATGTAGACTTATTTCCACCCAGTCTCTGTCTCTCTCCAACCCACAAGACCCCCCTTCTCAGCGTGACGCCGCCCTCTTCCCGTGCTCATTTGCTCACGAGCAAGCGGCCTGCCCCATCCCAGACCAACCCACATTCACACATGACTGTGAATTCAGTCGAGCTGGGCTGTTGTGGCAGGCAAACCGGGTGGGTTTCCCCAGTTTACCTGTCCCGCTTTTGTATGCCGCCCGTGGGCACCCCGGTCCTGCCCCATGGGTCTGCGCGCATGAGCAACCGTGTGAGGCCAAGCAGCTGTGGGCACTTGGAAAAGGCGGCGGTGCGATGGGTGTTGCCGAGAGACCAGGCTTGTCCCAAAGGATGAAAGGGGGAGAAAGGGGGAAGCGGGCTCCCCCGGCAGGGCAGAGCAGCCGGCCCCGGGGGGACCCTTTGGAGCCAGCCGAGGGCGTGTATTTGCCACGTGGAGACTCCGGAGGCACCGGCGCCACAGTGCATGGGGGAAAGGCTTTGGGCAGGCGGGGGCCCAGAGTCTAACCCCCGAGTCTCCACTTGGAGGGGGTGGGGGGGAAGGGAAGACCCCTCTGCCCGAGCCCCTGGGGGGCCGCTGTCACTTGGTGCACAAGCCGCCACGGCTCCCTGCCCTGCGTTGCCCCACCTCAGTCCCGTAAGGGGGCAGTTGTGCCCCAAAACGCATGCAGGGCGCAGGCCGGGAGGGGCTGCTGAGATCTGGGGCCCGGCCTCATAGGCAGGCCTCCAGACTTGTAGGCAAAAGCACCGGGGGGGGGGCACACCTCATGCCCCCAGTTCTGGTCCCTCTCACCCCTTCGCTCTCCCGGGGAAGGTCTGCTGGAGCTGCCTTGCCTGGCTGAGGGGAGGGGTCTCGATCGATGGATCGATCGCTCCCAGCAGTACGTGGAGACAGAGACCACCATGGGGGGGCCTTCCCCCCCCACTCTGCATTTTTCTCATCAGTGACCAGCGGCCGCCAGCACAACTAGGGCCAGCAAATCCCACAAGTAATTTTACCGCAGAGGGTCCAACCGGCAAGTACCTGCCCCACTCGGACAGGAAAGGGGCCAGGCATCCTTCCTCGTGTCCCTCCTGAGCCCTGCTAAAGGAGTCCCTTCCGCAGCTTATAGGTGAGTGGAGGGGCTTGGGGGGGGGGAGGCGCTGTCTTTGTTGGGGCCAATCAGCACAGCTGGAAGCGGGGAGGGCTCTGGGACCAAATACCCCACTTCAAAGGTAAGGAATGTTTGGGACAAGGCGGAGCCCTGGCTGGTTTTGGCTGGAGGGACCACAGGCCCCAAAGCTTTCCAAAGATAAGGGGCACCCCAGAGCCCTGGTCCTTGGGATCTCTTTCCAGGGCCTCCCCCCCGCTCCCGCAATACATACACAAAGCCAGGATGCTGGGAACAGAGAGGCGTCCTGGTGACTTTTCAGCAAAGGAGACCTGTACAAGAATACCCCCCCCCCCGCCCCCCGTGTGTGTGTGTGTGTGTGTGTGTGTGTGTGTGTGTGTGTGTGTTGGGGGTGGGCGCCTGTGGTGGGCAGGCTTAGACTTATGGGTTCTGCTTGCTTTTCTCTTCGCTTGAACCTCAAACGCCGCCAGCCAGACTTAATGACTGGCAAAGGGGGAAGCGGGCATGAGATGCGTGCTCAGCCCAGGAGTTTGTGTCCAGGGTTGGAACAGAATGCGCAGGTCTGCCAGCAAAAGATGCCCCCCGTGCCCCCGTTCCTCTCTACTGGCACAGGAACACAGAAGCGGGCCATCTAGTCTGACCCTGGCTCCAGCCGGATCTGCGCACAACATCCTTCATTTCTTAAGAACAGAAAAATAAGCTTGCTGGATCAGGCCGTCCGTCTCCCATATCTTTTTTTACGAAAGGTTAAATTGCAGACCATCGTATCTAAATGGCGTATGCTGAAAATATGCAGAAACCAGGCAAACGGGAGCCGGGGCGCTCACTGCAAGAGGGGGCTGCCCAGGCCAGCTCGCTCGTCACACAGCGACCCACTGGCTGCCCCAGGAAAACCCACCAGGGGGCCAGCATGCGACTCCCTGCCCCCGCCCATGCTCCCCGGCTCCTGCCTGTGGCCCTGGCGGCGGCACGGAGCCCCCGGGGGCGGAGCCGCCCTCCTGAGCTTCCTCCACGAATTCGCCCAACCCGTTTCAGCGATAGCCTCATTTCGGGCGCAAGCCCTTTGACGGCCGCTTTGCGCAACTCTGGCACGGCTGCCGTGCTGGGCTGCTGCATCCACACGGAGAGCCCGGGCGCCTCCTCCCAGCCCCGGTCTGCCCCTGGCCGGGACTTGCGCCGCACTCAGTGAACGAGCATCCCCGACAGAGGGCTGCCCGGCCCCTCCTGGGAGACCCCTGGCAAGAGAGACACCCCCACCCCCCCCCCGGCCACGGATGCCATCGTCAGCTGTGCTAGCCCAGCCGGAGAAAGAGGTCTGCGGAGGTTCAGCAGGACCTCGCCTGCGCCTCCCCCGCGGCGGCAGAGCGCAGGCCCGGGCCCTCCTTCCATGGGTTCAGCAGGACCTCGCCGGGCCCTCCTTCCGTGGGTCCATCCCTTGAAATGGGGAGCTGCCGCTGCGCGTGCCTCCCGCACCCTCTGCCTTCTCTCCTGCAGCTTCCGCCAGGGCTTGCCCTGCTCCCCCCTCCCAGGACTCCTCCTGGATGCTCAGCGCCCGGGACTGGGCACGGAAGCGTGGCTGTGCAACCTAGTGGTTTGGACGGGATGGTTGCATTAAGGAAATGCAAGACTGCCTGCCTGGCCTGCCTTGATGGTCGAGCCGGGCGAGCCCCACCTGCGCCCCACGGAAAGCGCCCCCAGGCCGCCCGCAAGGCCCTCCCGCCTGGCCTCTTACCTGGGACAGCTTGAGCTTCCGCTCCGGGGAGGCCTGGATCACCAGGGCGATCATGGCCAGGTAGGTGTAGGGCGGCTTGGGGTGGCGGTGGTATTTCTTCTTCTTGCCCCGCCTGCCCAGCTGCCCCGCCTGGCCCTCGGCTTCCCTGCCCGCAGGCTCCGCTGCAGCCACGGCCCCGGCCGCCTCCAGGGCCTCCTTGCAAGGGGCAGGCTGCTCCGGGGGCGAGGCAGAAGCCAGGGCCCTGCTCCCGGGGCTGCCCGCCTCCGGGCCACCCGGGGCAGGGGGGGGCACGGCCCCGGCCGGCGCGGGCTCCCTGTTGCGGCCGGCCATGCCAGCTCCGGCCAGGGGCGCTGCTGGGGGGTCGCGGCTGCCTCAGCCTCCGAGGAGGAAGGGACGGGACCCATTCGCGCCTTTATCATGTTGATGACCCGGTCACCTTGGAGGAGGAGTAAAAGTGGAAAGCAATTAACATCTGCAGCTAATCTCTGATCCTGGCAGGGAGGGGCAAAGGCTGCCCCAGCAGAGGGCCACTCCCCCCCCCCCGGGAATGCGTGCCCAGGAGTGCTTCCCATGATGGGCATGTGGCCGCCCGCACTTTCCCCTAAGCATCCTCACTCAATCTGAGAGAAACCAGGTTGCCAGCAAGCCAGCATGCAGCGATGAAGACATGAAGACGCCTGGGGGCCTTCTCCCGGGCTGGGCCTGGGTTTTCAGAGGTGGCCAAGGGGTGTGGACGAGAGCCCCGCTTTTCACTGCCGGAGCCCCTCCATGGCAGGCAGGCCATGGCCTGCTGGGGTGTCCGGGAAAAGACACCATGAGCTCGGGGTAGCAAGGCAGCCCTGGGGGTCCCAAGCAAGGCCGAGCCCTGCAAGGAAGAGGCGCGCTCACGAGCACCTTGCCTAGAATGAAGCAGCGCAACGAGCCCCCCTTTCCTGGGGGAGGAACTGGTCAAGAAATGGGGGGGGGTCGCATTTTGGCACTGTGCAAGCTGCATCTCTAGAGGAGAGAACTGTTCCCCCCCCCCGCACACCTGTGTGGTGGTGGGTGCAAGATCATTGCCAGCACAGCTGATGCTGTTCCTGGGGGGGCAGCACCCCCCCCAAGCAAGCCGCGATTTCTGTATCTGTGGCATCAGCAGGAGGCTTTTTGCATCCTCTGCCCGCACAGATGATGTTTGCTTGAGATACAGCGAAACTTGATGTGGTTAGTGTATTTTATGATGGGTACAGAGCAACCTGCATACGTGGAAATGTGGGTTGTGCATTTAAAAATAATTTCACTGATCTCGATCGCCGTTCCCTCCATCAGAAGCAGCCACAGCTGCGGACTTGCCTTCTGGGACGAGCAGGTCTCGCCCCCACCCTCACGACGCGTCTGGGGCCCGTTTGCTCCAAGGCCGCCTGGACGATGATATCCATCCGAGGGACTGGGCAGCAGGCCCACCGCAACATCGCGCCAGCCTCTGCTGGTCGGAGGAATCTGTGAAGAGCCCCCTCCTCAGAAGGCTGATGCGTCTCAATCCACATATGAAGAGCTTCAAAGCCTTGTCTGGCCTGCAGGGGTCCCCAGACAGGAATTCCGCTCCCACGCCTCGTTGCCCGCCCTGAATACCAGGAGCCGCATTGGGATGGAAATGGCCCCCCGCCCCGGGCATGATGCCCACCAGGTCCGGAGGGGCAGCTGCCCAGGAGGCGAGGGCTCTGGGGATCGCCTCGTCTCTGATAGCAAAGAAAGGGCAAGCGGAGCACATAGTCCTGCAGGTAAGAGAGAAAGCTGAACTTCTAACAAAATCTCAAGGCTTTCAGGTTACTTTCCTAAGGAAAAAATTGATCCTTGCGCAGTTACCATCCTGTGGCTGATAAAGCCCTTTCAGATGTGCTTCCTCCTCACATTTCCGGGGTAGAACAACAGGGCAGGTCTTGCCACGGATGGGGGGATGTGTGGTCTCTCTTCGCACATCTAGGGCGCATTCTTCAATTTGTCCAACTTTCTGCACGTGCTCAGACCACCCATTCTCCTGCATCGGGACCAAGTGGGATGCTCTGCTCCGCTCTGGGGAATTCCTGTAATGTGCAAATCTTAACTCCGTAACACGCTCCCTTCACCATCTGTTCCACGGTGAATGTGTCAACGCTTGTTGATATTTCAACCTCTGGCAAAGTTTGTAGTGACATTTTAATTTTCCTAAAAACGTAGGGTGGTTTGCTCAACAAGACAATGAGCTTCGATCAGTTATAATGGCTCTTCTGCCTCATAATAAGCAAAAGTTATTGGTCTTGAGTTCCGCCGTCTTTCCTTCAGTCGGGGCTGCTCCCAGTTAAGGCTGCTGGTGAATAGCGGCTCCGCTGGGCTTCTCCTGTTTCACTTTTCAGGTTGCTTCTTCATCTGACAAGGCAGCTGTTCCCAGTGTGTGTTTTAAAGGGTTAGGCAGATGGGAAGGACTTGAGAAAGACTTTCTAACAAGTCTTTCTCAAACCCTTCCCCACCAGCCTGCTCTCTCAACAGTGGATTTCCAAGTGAGCTTTCTCTAAAAAATGCTTAATGCTTGTTTATCTCCCCATCACCAAATTTCCTCCATCAGTTCAGTGGAGGTTTTGCCATATCAGAATGCACAATCTTACCAAGTTTTCGTGTAACAAAACATCTTTTTGTACACAGAATTCCATGCATCCATCTCAGACTAATTTTAAAGGTACCGCTCAAGGAACCGTCTCTTTCTCATAATGCAGAATCTCTCTTAGCTCCATCTGGGGATCACAAAGCCCAGCATGCACAGTCTTTCCTGCTGGCGTAGTATCTGCGGTTTGGTGGGCTTGCGCATTGCTGGAAGACTGAGCACAACTTGCAAAGCACAGTTGTCGAGCAAGCCCTCCAGCACAGACCACTGTGCGCCCCCTTTTGTGGGCATCTCGGCCTTGCGCGGCTGCGCTCTTGATGGGAGGCTTCCAGCTTGGTCCCCCTCTGCATTATCTTTCAGCGTTCGTCTGCATGAGGCTTTTCCCTGGCAAAGCCATGCTCAAAGGGACTCGCAAAAAGAGCGAGAAGATGTACACAACGGAATGGAGTGTTTCCAAATATTGAACAGTAATAGTGCACAGAACGCTTGCTGATAAAGCTGGGCAGGCTTAAAGCACTGCGTATTTGTGCCTTAAGTGAAAGGGGGGACGTGGCAAACAGCAGGAAGCGCCACAAGGGGCAGCTGACTGAGCTGCTGCTGGAGTCGGTCAGGGCTCCGTCCGTCCTCCAGGCCGTGTGCCAGGGACCGGAGGGGCAGCGCCCCGTCCCGCGGGGCTCACAGCCGGACGGTCCCCACGCGGTCGTGGGAGCTCCCATCTGCCTGCTGGAATCTGCTCACAGGACCAACGCTGGGACCCGCCTATGTCTCGGGGAGCAGCTCGGCAGCTGCGTTCCGCACGGGCCGGTGGCTTCCCTGGGATCCCGGCTGGCTTTCCCGGCTTTCAAGGGGCTTGTGTCAGGCGCAGGGCCGCTCTCGCAGGTGCGCTCCGTGCAGGAGGGGGGCGCCACCTGCCCCTTTGCTGGCCCTCTTCGCATCCTCCTGCCAGTGTGAGAGATGCCGTTCCACACACAGGAGCGCTCCCGGGCGCTGCTCCAGAGACCGTGCGAGGGCGAGGGGCGGTGTGAGCGCAGCCTCCACGTGGAAGCACTGTATGTGGCGCCTCCGCCAGTTATTCCCCTCTGCCTGGGCACGCATTTTAAAAAGCAACTAAAATGGTCACGCGCGTACTCCTGTGGCCACTGGCACAGGCGCTGGGGAGGGAACGGCCCCGCACCCGCCTGCCCCCTCCCCACCACCTGCGGAGCTTCATCCAGACTGTCTAGGACCCGGATGGACTCCAGACAGAATGTGGGGGCTGGAAGCCAGGCCCCCCGCCAGAGGCACGTGCGCCTCTGTATGCAGGCCCTGACCCTGGTGGAGTGGGAGGGGCCGGATCGCGCCCTCTGGCCCTGTCGATCCCAGGGGAGGGAAATGGGTTTTGCCCCAAGGTCAACCACACGGCAGGCTTTTAAAAGACTGTATCTGTTCTGGAGGACCTGAGAGTCACCGGAAAGGGGGGAGGACCCTGGAATTCCCCTCCCCAAATTAACCAAGATCAGCCGCCGCCAGCAGCAAACATTTTTATTTACATGGATCGATGCATACAAAAAAGGAAAGGACCGTATGTGGCCAGGGATGGTGTCTCTGCCCCGTGCCTCGGGGAGCCAAACGGCTGCTCCTGCTGGGATCGGGGCACCTGGCCCCCCGTGTCTCTGCCCACAAGTGCGACGCTTGCCCACTGGATGCCTGGTTTCGCCGGCCCAGCTGATGAGCTGCCCTGGCACAAAGCCCACACCATCTCCTCCCTCGAAACATCCCCTGGGAAGCCGCCCGGGAAGGAGGCCCGCTCTCCAAACAAACCAGTGGGCGCCGGGCTGGCTTCTGCGAACAGCCAGAGGGTTCCCCATACTGGGCAGTGGGTCGGGCAGGGAGGAGACGAGCAGCCATCCGGCCCCTTCCTTGCCTCTGCCACTCCCCAGGCCTGACTCAGGGTGCCAACTCCCCCACCCCCTGGGCTTCTGGAGGGTGGGCTGAAGCGCTTGGCAAACAAGCCCCTTTCCCCAAGCCAGTGCCCTCTGGGTGTGTGGCACTGCAGTTCCCAGCATGCACAGCCAGCATGGCCAGGGCTGTGCTAGAGAGGAGTGGCAGGAGCTGCCGTTTATTAGATCAGGAGGGCGCCAGGATGGGGAAGAAACTGTCCAAAGGTACAGAGGTCAATCTGCCCCCTGCAGGACCCTCCCTCCCCACAGTCCCGGGAGATTAAGCAAGGAGGTAGGGTGGGCGGTTTGTGCACATCTGGATCCGGGCCAGGGTTTAATTTGTATGGATCAGCCGAGCCCACCTGCGGGTGCAGCTGCTTTCGGGAGGTAGCGCCTGGTCCGGCTCTGGCCAGGCATGCCCCGGCTGCCTCCCCGCACCTGGCAGGGCCTCTCCCTGCAGCGGGCTCTTTGGGGGCTGCCTGGGTCTGCCGGAACGGCTCTTCGTAGCAGGCTGGGAGCCGTGGAGCCTTCCGCGGGGGCTTCTGGCCGGGAGCCTACCCCAACCCCCGGCACTCCCTCCGCCTCCTCCGAGCCGAGGGTGGGCAGTCCGCGTGCTGTTCCTGCTGGCTGTGTGGCGCCCGCGGCCTCCGAGGAGGGCAGCGACGGCTGGGCCACCGACAGACAGAGCCCTCTGCCCATGGCAGACGCCCTGCGGATGCTCCGCTCGGCTGCTGCGCCGGGTCCTGCTCCTGCCCCTCATGAGTTACTGCGCCTCCTGGAGCCCCCTCCTGCGG